AGATCAAGAAGGGCCAAGACGGGGCTACTAAACATATCCACTTTCAATGTGATGAAGGCCTCCGCTTTCTTGGGTCCCCATTCCCAAGGCGTGACCTTCTTGAGGAGTTCTATCAATGGTACTGCAATGAGGGAGTAGCTTTTAACAAATCGCCGATAGAAATTGCATAGACCAAGGAACGCCCTCAAGGCGTGGATATCCTTAGGCGGCGGCCAATCTGTGATTGCCTGAATCTTTTGTTGGTCCATCTTGATCCGCCCTTCCTCGGTGACATGTCCGAGGAAGTCAATTTTCTTTTGAGCAAAGGAGCACTTAGATAGCTTAGCATATAGTTCATGCTCCCACAATCGAGCTAGGCCCTTCCGCAAGTGCATCAGGTGTTCCTCCAATGTTTGGCTATATACCACAATGTCATCCAAGTAGACCACCACGAATTCATCAATGTACTCTCGGAAGACTTGGTTCATCAAAGTGCAAAACATAGCTAGGGCGTTAGTCAAGCCAAATGGCATAACCAGGAAATCGTACGACCTATATCTTGTCACACGGGTCGTCTTGTGCTCATCACCCTCTGCAATCCGAACATGCCAATAACCTATCTTCAGGTCTATTTTGATGAACACCGTCGCACCACCGAGTCTATCGAACAAGTCTGCCATTAGCGGAATAGGGTATTTNAGGGTACTTGTTCTTCACAGTAATTTTGTTTAGAGCCCGATAGTCCACACAGAGTCGTAGACTACCATCATGTTTCTTTTTGAATAGCACAGGGGACCCATATGGGGATTTGGAGGGCACGATGATCCCTGTGTCTAGCATTTCCGTCAATTGTCTCTAAAGCTTGGTGAGTTTGGGTTGTGACATTCTGTAAGGCACCCGGGCGGGTGGCTTCGCGCCCGGCACCAGCTCAATTTCATGGTCCATAGTGCGCCTAGGCGGTAGTCGCTTTGGCATGTCTTGTGGCATGACATCTTCAAACTCTAGTAGTAGATCCTTCACGAGCTCAGGAATGGGACCCGAGGAGCATTCTGCATCTTCAATGCAGAGGGTTTCCAGGAATGTAGGTTCATGTCTTTTGACCCCCTTCTTCAACTGTAAGGCCGAGATGTTTTCAACGGCCATCTTCATGGGCATGCACGGGATAATGCAGTGCTTGGTCCCGTTTGCTCCCATCATCAGTAATATGTCAACATATGGTACATGCATGGTGTTGGTTTGCCTCAGGAATTCCAATCAACTATCAACTCGAAGTCATCTATGATCACCATGCGTAGGTTCAATTTTCCTTCATAAGGGCCAAGCTTCACTGGTACTTCTTTGGCTATCCCACCCACTGGCTGAGGAGGTCAGTTGATAGCCTTGACACTACCTCTGCCCTTTCCTACAACTACACCAAGGCGCTCCACCCGAGTCTAGGCTAAGTAGTTGTGGGTAGCACCCGTGTCTATCCTCGCCCGAATGGGTTTGCCATTTCCTTCATTTTAATGAACATTAAGGTTCTCTCTTGTTTAGGAGGATTCTTCTCATCCGCCTTCTTTTTCCCTTTCTTGGTGCTTGGGCAGGGGTCCTTCTTCTTATGGATGCCAGCACTGGTTCCCGCTAAGGCCTCAAAAATGGAGCTAACAATTGCATTGAAGGCACCTACTGGCTCGGTTTGGTCTGCATCATCTGTGTCATCATCTATCCCATCATCAAAGGCTTGATGGGTGTTCATCTGTGCATGTGGACACTCATTATTCCAATGTGATCCGCCGCAATGATGGCATCCCGAAGTAGGCTTTCTCCCCTGGTCATTGTTGTTTGATGCGGCACTATTGCTACCTGAGAAGGGAGCCTTAGATTTGGTTGCACTCCGATCTCCCCCACTTCTGCTAGAGTCACCATTGCTAGGTTGGCCCCCTTTGACTCCCGCTCGGACAGGCGGCTGAGGCTAATCCTTCCGAGCTTCCACTTGATAGTCCCCAAGGCATTCAGTTGCTTGGATCGCCTTGGGTAGGGTATCTACCCTTTGTCTTTGGAGTTCCATGCGGGCATAAGGTTTCAACCCTTCTAGGAAGGTGAAGAGCTTGTCTTTGTCCCACATGTCACGTATGTTTAGCATGCGCGGAGAATTCCCGCACGTAATCCCGCACTGACTTGGTCTGGCGGAGCTCCTGTAGCTTCCTCCTTGCATTGTATTCCACATTTTCGGGGAAGAACTGTAGGTGTATGGGTGCCTTCAGTTCTGACCATGTCTCGAGAGCATCTTCACCGGCCTTGATGGCTTCGTACTTCACCCGCCACCAGATTTTAGCATCACCCTGAAGATACATGGCAGTAGTTGCTACCTTCTTAGCTTCTTCTAGGCCTCCAACAACATCAAAGTACTGTTCGATATCAAAGATGAAGTTTTCCACTTCCTTGGCATTCCTAGCTCCACTGTATGGCTTTGGGTAAGGAATTTTTAGTTTTTATGTCGCGGAAGCGGGGTTCGCAGAGCCCCCGATTTGGTTTCCACCGCCTCGAAGCAAGCCCTGTAAAGCAGCATTGACAACATTGAGTTTGTCTGTCAAGTCGTCAATAGTTTGTTGCATGGCAGTCACCCTGTCTGCCTCTTGTGCCCTGTAAGCTAAATCCTTGGCACGCTCCTGTTGGAGTCCCTCGAATTTGCCAAAAATTTTGGCTGCCTATGTGGTTGCTGTTTGTCGGTCTCCCTCGAAGTCGCGATTGATGTTTTCTATGTCAACTTCGGCCTGGAACACCCTACGGTCCAGGTCGTCCAACCTTTGTCCTAGGCTGGTTCTTAGTTCAGGCACAGTATCCACAATGGGTCGTAATCCGTCAACCGTCTGTTCAAGGACCGCAATGCGGTCCCCATGATTCACCATGGTCAGAAATGGTGGAAATGGCAATGCGTTCCCTCGTCCGATGTCGAGCCTAGGCTCTGATGCCAACTATTACGCAGCGCCTTCCTGAGATTCCTTGGAAGGGCAACGTAAGGCTAAGCAACTGATGTCAGTGCAGTTACTGTCCGCCAACTGAAGTCCCCTCCGTACGCTAGACTAGATTGTCAGTGCCGTACGAGAAAACCAATGTCAAGAGCAATTGAGAGAACATAAATGAGGATTGAGAATGAAAGAAAGCTTGATTGCATTAATGAAAACTATTACAGAAAGGCAACACGGTGTCGAGGGGGAGAGAAACCAGTACAGAGAATTGTTTGCTTGCTAGAAAGTTTGATTGTTTGATCCCCCCTAATAATACTTAAAAAAATAAACCAAAGCCACAAGACTAGACTTGATTAAGCTAGAGAAACATAATGGAAGTACATGGAATAAAACTACTCTATATTTACTATGAAAAAGACTTAGTTTTTTACAAGGCAGAAACAGGTCCGTTGTCAGCAGCATAGTCTTTGGCATCAGGGTCTACACGTGCGACACTATTGGCATCCGCTTGCGGTTGGACACTGGCAAGGGATATCGGTGGGGCGACAGAGGCACATACACGTTTGTCACTTGGCGCGGCCAAGACCACGGGGCTATCCGTGGTTCTAGGCATTGAGAGGCTTGCTAGGACGCCACGGGGCGCGCCCAAGGGGCCATGGGGCACGGCTGGAAAGCCGCCCATAACAAATCTTTTGTCCATAAACTAATATGTGGCTTTGTTTGGTACCAACATAATTTAAACTTTTCCATATGAAGTTTTGATCTTTAAAATGAAAAATGATTGAAGTGATAATTCTTGTTGTGAATTTTAGGTTCTATTTTTGGCTCTTTGATTCATTAAATAGTCTTTTAGGATATATGTGATTTTCTTCGGGTTCATTGGTTTTAATTGGATTTTGGATTTATATGTCACTCGAGTTTGCATGTGCCATGTGTGGTGAGATTTGTTGTGAATTCTTTTGCATTACTTGTAGTCTAGAACTTGCCCGGAATGTGCTTCAATGCGAAATCATAGACTAACTTGGTTTGAAAAATGATATTAGGCCTTCCTTGGACCGCTATTGTGCCTTAAATTTCCTACCCTCTAATATTTTCCCTAGTCAACCTATTTTGAGCCTTTAACCTTGTTCTTTGGCAACCATATTACAAGCTTTAATCCTTTGTTCTTTAATTGATCTAGCTTTTGGCACCCTATCTCCTAAGTACTTTGAAAGTGTAAACATAGGCTAAAAGCCTAAGTTTGGGGATGAAGGTTGGAAAAGTTGTAATATGGAAGTTGTTTAAAAGGTGGAAGATAGAAAAAAAATATGATAAAAAGTGAAACCTTCCTTGATTTTGAAAATAAAAAAATAAATAATAATAAGTTGTGAATAAAGGGAGAATTAGGTGTAGAATGAAAAGTGAAGAAAGGAAAATATTTTTTAAGGAAGTGGACTTTAATTGAAAATTTTGTAGTGCTTGGGGAGGTTTTGAGTCACTCTAACCAAAATTGTGCCCTACCTTAACCAAAAGTCTAAACTACAACCTTTTAAGTCCTAATTGATTTTGAACCAAGTTGTCTACATTAGTGGATAAATACATGAAGGGCAAGCCTATGACACTACTTTTGTGCATTTGAATATCTTTGAAAGAGTGAGAGTAAATTCTTTCCATTTGATATCCCATGTTTGGTTAAATTGCAATTTATAAGTTGGGATTCTCTCTTAAGTGTGAGGACACATGAAAATTTTGAGTTGTGAACTTAATCCAATCTCCAATACTACTAGAAATTTGGCCTCTTGGGACGGTTCATTGGCAACGGTTATAAAACCGTTACATTAAATATCTATGGCAACAATTAAAACTGCTCCATAATTATTCCAGTGTTGTTGGAACAAATACAAAAATGAACCGTCACAATAGAGATATAACCGTCGCAATAGTATTCTCTATTGTAACGCTTGTTGTATTCGTCACAGTAGGTTCCTCTGTGGTGACGGTTATCTGAAAAAATAAGCTATTTGGACGCTTCTTATTTTCCCTCATCCAATTTAATGAACCCGCTACATCTCTTATTTTTATTATTTTTTAAAACCCTAAAATAATATGTGAGCCCACTACATCAACAAAAACCCCTATTTCTCTCATCTCCTTCTTTCACATAGCTAGCTCTAACTAGAGAACCCACTGAGAAATCCCACATAACTCTGGCCAGCGTGATGGTTTATTTTGCAGGTTTCCCCTTCTGGTAGGTCACAATTTTTTTTAATTTTTTGCTCTTTTTACTTCTTCCTCCTCACCTTCAATTTGTGGTTGTAGTAGCAATTTCATTCTTTAAGCCCTAAAAAATATCTAAAAATTCAATCTTGGTTACTGATTTCTTGCATTTTGCTTTAATAATATGGATAGTCTTGTTGAAGATTTGAAATAAAAATAAGTAGAAATATGGGTTTATTTCTTTATTTTTAATTTTGGGCTGCTATTCAATGTGGGTATACATTTCTCATGGTTGTGATAACTTTTCTTGAATCTTGTTGCTGGTATATTTCTATCAAAAGTTTTAAGCTTTAAGTTATGGAAGACTACTCCCATATTTATCTTCTATTTTTAATTTTTGGTGGGTTGGAGTGTATGGTTTGAATTCTTAATTAATTTGCTCAGATCTGTAGGTGTGAGGTGTGTTTCTGCATTTTCTATATTTAGTTGTGGCCTTTTTGTTTGAAGACAATTCTTTCATAGAACATTGGAGGTATATTCTTATTTATTTGCTATTACATCTCTTGAACAGTAAGGTTTCATTTAATCTCGTGATTTGGGTAAAAAAATTACAATTTGATTACTTCTTTTATTTATTCCAGAAGCTTTGATCCATCACTAGTTTTTCAATTTGTTATTTTTTAATTTAATTATAATCTTAGGTGGCCTCTTTGAATAGTCTCTTGAACCTTTATGGGTGAATAATGAGAATCGAGAAGTAATTATAAGTTATATTGAACTGTATTTGTGCACTGTCAGAAATTCAATTCATTAACTTTCTAGGTATGGGTGTGCATTCTATTTACCGATTCGATTTTGACCCTTATCGATTATCGATTTGTACATATGCTTATCGTTATCGTTTCAAAAAGGTTTCGATTTTTCGATTTCGATTTATCGATTTTTGGGGCTTATCGATTCAGTTATCAATTACACCAATAAGACAATTTGTGGGATTCCAAAGTATATTGCTATAAACACGCCTAATTAATATGGACAAAAAGAAGATAAAATAAGGCGAACACCGTTTATAACATAAAAATTGTATCAAAAAGAACATGCAACGAAACTAAAGTAAGGGGTCAAATGTATGCCACCAACACTCCAGCGGTATAAACAAAAATAAAAATACATCATCACGGCTAATTCTACTTTCCATTATTTTGAACTTCATTCCCTTGAGCTTTAAATATGATCATTCCTTAAATGTGGTAGATGGAATAATAGGGTTAGGTACTTAGGAAAAAGGAAAGGGTATTATAGAATAAGGTAATTTTTTTTAAAGTATATCTTATCGGTTTATCGATAAACCGATAAACGAAGAAGACAAAATCGAAATCGAAATCAATAACTCGATAAGAAAAATTTCGAAATCGAAATTGAAATCGATAAATCGATAAACAGATAACAAATAATCGATTCGATTTATCGATAAACCGATTCGAATGCACACCCCTATTTCTAGGTATCTTTCTGAATTTTTGCTTCTATTTTTTGCTACTTATAATATTTGCAAAATTCTTGGTTTTTTTGATTAATTTTATCATAAGTTGAGCAAAATGGTGCTATGAATCAGTAATTACAATTTATGAGTTTAACTTGATCTGGCTGTTAATCTTTTTTCTTGATCATTGGTTACAGAATCCTCAAGTTGATAACTCATCTAGGGGAGCTTTCGAAGTTTCTGTTATTGGATTACATGTTAAATTAAAATCTGCTCTCTTTGATACTCAGTTGACCTAATTTTATAATGTGATAATTAAAGTTGTTAAGTTTAGTTAATCTGTTGTATGTACAAATATCATGACCCTAAACCCGGACCCGGTCGTGATGACGTCTCTCGTGAAGACAAAGTCAGTCAATTAGACCCAATTCACTTTTTATACAGTTAAACAACATAAAAGCAGTCTAAAACATGATTTAGCAATACTAAGTAGCGGATAATATCAATAAAGTGCGGAAGTACAACCCAACACAACCCTAACTGGGTTATCACTAGTCATGAGCATCTATAAGTCAAAATACAATCCACTAAGTCTATAAACTAGTACAACTATCTGAAAAGAAAGATAGAACTGATAAAGGAGTAAAGACACGGGGCTGTGGACGCCAAGCAGCTACCTCGTGAGCTCCGAATGTCCGCCTGAAGCTGGAGGGATCAGCACTCGGGAGCGGATCCAGCTACGCCTCAATCTGCACACAGGGTGCAGGGAGTAAAGTCAGTACTCCAACTCAGTGAGTAACAAATGTAAATAATGACTAAAAGTAAGAAAACACGTAAGGCAAAAGCATTCTATAATGAAGCAGTAAAACCATTTCAAAACAGTAAAACAGTGAAAGATAGGTAAAATCCTTTAACTCAAAATTTAACTTCATGAAAAGCTCTTTTCAATGATTAAGCAGGTAATTGACCGTCAACAAATCCGCCCCTCGAGCAACATCTCAAAACAGTACCAGCCCCTCAGGCAATCACATAGAACAATACCAGCCACTCGGGCTCAATCTCACATCACAATGGGTACCCACGCTCACTGGGGGTGTACAGACTCCTAGAGGGGCCCCTTACGGCCCAAACGCAATAACAAGCCATCTCATGTCATCAAAACTAGGCCCTCAGCCTCATATCAATCAAGCCACCTCGTGGCGTACATATCTCAGGCCCTCGGCCTCATAATCAGTATCAAATCCTCACCATATAGGCCCTTGGCCTTACTCAGTCAAAATCCTCACAAGCCCCTCGAGCAATAGTAAAACAGTGTTTCTCAGCCCAAACATCATTTAAGTCTTAAAAACTAAGTAAACATGGTTAAGTATGAAAACAATGGAAAATAACCTGACTGAGTTCAAGTATAAAGTCAAAACAATGAGGAAATATCAATAAAAAGCCCCGAAGGGTTCGAATAGTTGGCACTAGGCCCAAATATGACATTCAACCCAAATAATAATGATAGCAAATAGTTTTCAATCAAATACGCGGTAAAATAGTCAATCGGGATGGACCAAGTCACAATCCCCAATAGTGCACGACCCCACACTCGTCATCGAGTGTGTGCCTCACCTTAATATAGCACTACGATGTGCAATCCTGAATTTCAAACCCTCAGAGCATCATTTACAATCATTACTCACCTCGAACCGACTAAATCTAGAGCTCGCGATGCCTTTGTCCCTCGAATAGGCCTCCACTCGCGTCGAATCTATCCAAAATAAGAACGAGGACGTCAAAATATGCTAAGGGAACGAAGCCCAAGCGAAAACAATCAATAAAGGGCACAAATCCCGAAATTACCATAACCTGACCCCCGAGCCCACGTCTCGAAATTCAGAAATTTTTACACAATCGATTCCTTTTCTTCCCACGAGTTCATACATATCAAAAGTTCTCAAATCTGACCCCAAATGGTCCTCCAAATCCCCAATCAAATGTCCAAATTTCCAAGCCCTACTTCTTCAATTGTTAGCTTAATTTCCATGATTTTCTAGGTGGAATTCACATAATAATCGGGTTTTAAGTCCGTGAATCTTACCTCCCAACGATTCCCCTTGAATCCCTCTTCAATATCCTTCAAAAATCTCCCAAAATGACCAACTATGGAGGAAATAAGCCCCAAAATCGCGGACAATACGAGCTTAAAACCATTCTGCCCAGGCATATTTTCCTTCATCGCGATCGCGAAGAACAAACCTTCAGCTCCCAAAATTTCCTCTATGCGGACGCGATCTAGCCTTCGCGAACCTGATGCCCAGGCGAATGACTCTACGCGATCGCAGACATCCCTCCGCGTTCGCAATGAACAAAATCCGGCCAAGACCCCAGGTCCATTTAACTCTATGCGAACGCGACCACTTTCCCGCGTTCGCGATGAATAACCTCTCCACTCTATGCGATCTCAAGCCAACCTTCACGAATGCGAAGAACAACTAGACGTCCTCCTCAAAATCTTCTACGCGATCGCAAGACTCCCTATGCGATCGCGAAGGGCAAAATTCTGCAACAGCTGAACCTGCAACTTTTGCAATTTTCTCAACTTCAAAATGATCCGATTGACCACCCGAAACTCCCCCGAGGCCCCTGCGACATCAACCCAAGGCACCAACATATCCTAAAACCTTATTCAAACTTGTTCCAATCTTCAAAACACCTCAAACGACATCAAATCAACCAACGAAGCTAAAATTAATTCTAAAATCTTCCGAATTCCGCTTTTGATCAACAACCCAACCAAACCACGTTCGAATGACCTAAAAATTTGCACACACATCCCAAATGACCCAACGAAGCTACTGCAATTCTCGAAATTCTATTTCGACCCCTATATCAAAATCTCGCCTATCAACCGGAAATCGCTAAAATCTCAATTTCGCCGATTCAAGCCTAAATCAACTTCGAACCTCCAAAACGCATTCCGATCTCACTCCTAAGTCATAAATCACCTCCCAAAGCTAAGCGAACCATCAGAACTCACGTCCGAGCCTTCTAACACGTAAGTCAACATGCTGTTGACTTTTCCAACTTAAACTTCCTTAAAAGAGACTAAGTGTCTCAAATCTTACCAAAATCATTCCGGATTCGATCCGACCAACCTGATACCACAAAACAAGGATAAGTAAGCATAAAGAAACAGAAATGGGGAAAACAGAGCGGTAACTCATGAGACGACTGGCCGGTCGTCACAACAAACTATGCTTTGAGAAGAAAATGGATTTATTGTGTGATTGAAAACCCTATGCTATGAATAGCTAGGTATAATGAGATGACTTAGGTCATTGGTGCTCTGTTGTGTTTTGTATACTAGATAAAATAGGTAATAGACTAATTCGTCTTTATTTTACGGTTCATTCAGTCAAGTCAGGATGAAGATTCTTCTTTGTTAAATTTTGTGGTGCTATAGTGTTGTATGGTTGTGTTGTGGTTTTTTAATTCTCTATAATATCATACTTTCTAGCATGACTCAAAATATGTTGTACTACCATTCATCTTAATAAGTAAAATAAATCTGCCTAAATTCTTAGTATAGAACATGAGTATCCAATGCAAGATATTGTTTTTTCTTCTGTTTCTTAGCTTCGTGATTTGCTTTTGGTGTTATATAGGATATTCAATAGTTAATGGATAATGGAGATAAAAGTTGGATGGGTCTCTGAAGATCAACGAAGGAGTACATCCGCGGAGTGAACGATTTTCTTGACAAGGCATTTGAACGGACTGCCCAAGGAAATGAAATATTATGCCCTTGCAAAAAATGCATTAACTATTATTGGCATTATAGAAATGTAGTGGAGGATCGCTTGGTTGCTTATGGGTTTGTTACTGGATACACCAAAGGGGTTTTTCATGGGGAAAGGGTTTCCTCAAAAAATACTCTACGGTCAAGCAACGATGAGGATGATTCTAACATGCATGACGATATTGATGGACTACTTCATGATACTTTTTGAAATGCAGAGGGTGACTTGAGATGTGAAGAAGAAGTGAGAGAGGGACCATCTGAAGATGCAAATTTTTTTTTAAAATTATTGGAGGAAGGGAAGGAAGAGTTATACCCGGGGTGTGAGAATTTTTCTAAATTAAGTTTCTCCATTCGATTGTACTTGTTTAAATGCATTCATGGATTGAGTAATGTGGCCTTTTTAGACTTGTTAATAGAGGCATCTCCATTTGCTCAGTTACCTGGCTCTTTCAACAAGGCTAAAAACATGATACAAGATTTGGGTCTTCGTTATGAAAAAATACATGCATGCCCAAATGATTGCATGCTATTTTGGAATGACAATGTGAAAATAGATAATTGCACTGTTTGTGGGTCTTCCAGATGGAAGAATGTTGGTAATGGTTTGAATAATGCAAGCTCCAAACTCCCAGCAAAGGTTTTAAGGTACTTTCCTTTAAAGCCTAGGCTTCAAAGAATATTTATGTGTCCAGAAACAGCTGTAGCTATGAAATGGCATGCTACTGAATGACCGAATGATGGAAATTTAAGACATCCTGTTGATGGAGAAGCATGGGTAATTTCAAGCACAAAACAGGAGCAGTGTGTTACCATTCTTGGTCAATTAGCATCTCATCAGTCACCCCAAATTTCTGCAACTCCTTGGGCTTCTACGTAAATCATCTTGACTATATAAGTTGACATTACTGTTTTGCAGAAAATGTCTGAGATTAATATTAAGAACCGATTAAAGTTGAAGAATCCACATACTGCTGGAAAAACAAGCTTCGCTATCATTCGCAATGAATTGGTGTGTTCTCTAATTTATTATTAAATATAAACTTATCTTTTGAAGAAGATTTTTTTTATATCCACTTTATGTAACTAGGAAAAAACAAGGGATACTTCGGATCCCCTATCACTTAAGCATATCTTTGTGGCTATAAGAAAAAGGAAACTCGGGCGATAATACAAAGACTCGGATGAAGATACAATAAAAAAAAAATAGTGAGAATCAGAATTTTCATCTTATTATTATTTATTTTGAGCAATTATTTAGTTTTATTAATCGACTTACTTTTTATTTACTTGATTTCTGTCTTTCTGAATTTTCTTGTAGGTCGAAATGGAAGAAATTGAAATGCAACAAACCGATGATGGCAATGAATCTGTTAATGCATTTGCATCTGTAATGTGACCTGAACATCCAGGACGCTTGAGGTTATATGGACAAGGGGTTACACAAACTTCTTTGAAAGAGAAAATGGTATATTTTGAACACTCTCAAACTTCTACAAATGATTTCCAAAAGATGGAAGAGTGGATGCAAAAAATTGAGGAAAAATTTGAATAACAAAAGATAACTATACGTCAAGAAGTTGTCGAAGATGTCATCGGAAAACTTCAACGTTCAGGATTAACACTTGATCCTAACATTATAGCAACATTGTGCGATCACTCTGCACCACAAGCAGCTATTCAACCAATTCATCGGCCGTCTATTGGTAGCAACAGTCAAGGTATTACTTAAAACGTCGACACACATACACGGTAATTGGAGCTTACTGTTTGAGAATCACTACTGTCAGTTTTAGTCTGTATGACCTAAATGAAAAGGCTACTACTTGTTAAGTTAAAACACATGAAGAAAGATCTGATGTTTTACCTCATTAATAATTGAAAATGTCAGATTCTACTGGCTAGTGTTCATACTTGGTGCATTGATAACTTTTTTATATAGAAATTATATAGGTATATCACTTGAGTTTCCTAGGATCCTTTTAGGACTTATCTTGGATTTGGTTTAACTGTTGTTCACTTAATCTAGTCATTCAGGTCATGGGGACCTATTTGGATTTGATTGTAGTGTTGTTCACTCAATGTACTCTTTCATGAACCTTTAGAGTTCACATTCTGCTTTATGTTGAGTTATGTGGTAGATTTGAATATGCCTTGGGCATCTGATTGGTTCCTTGACTTTATTTTGGGCTCTATTCATCAGTTTTAGAAACTTCCTACTTAACCAATGTGCGTTGTATCTCACTGTGGCAGCTAATTGTTGGTTGCCAAAATTAGGAGTTCATTTATTCTCTCAGCATAGACTATTCTTTTTAGAGTAGCTTGACATCATGAATACATTTTTAGTCTAAAAGGGAAAGAAAATATCGGTGCAATATTTCTTTTTCTTCTGTTTCTCTTTCATTTTCTTTGTCATGATTATAGCAGGTTACTTAAGAATAGAAAGACCTTGCAACTATCTATGTTGCAGGTAAGTAAAAAAGTTAAGAATTGTTTTTTGGTAAGGAAAAGACTGTATGTTCCCTCTTGATGGTCAAAAGTTCTTTTCCACAGTAGGAAATTTTTTAGAATTTCCTACACTAGTTGACATCTAGTTGTGAGGAAAATAATTGTATTAAATTATACATAATGTAGCAAAAAGGTTTTCTGCTTATTCTTAAGTCTTTGGATTTGTTGCTAGGTAAATTTGTATAGTCCTCTAGTCCTGTGATTGACCTCTCTTCCTTTTACCCTTTCGGATGGTCAATTTGATTGCCTTTGAAGTTTCATTTCACAGTAGTAATTTCTCCATCCTTACTAATTAAAATGATAAGAAAAGTTAAGATTTAACTTACGAGGTGGCTTGACATTAGTTTGTATGTATATATTAAGAATATATATATTTTGTAAATATTTTACTTAATCGTTTATTTATCATCCTTGTAGGTGGAACAAATGAACAAGAAGTATAGCAGTGAAGACCTTACTTGAGGGCGTTGGTTCTGTTAGAGCTTCATATGTTCTAGGATCTTCTAATTTAGAATTTTTTGCAAACTTATCTGTGCTAACTTTGAATTGTTAAACAGTACGTTATATAGCTATTTTGCTTTTATGTAGATGATGTTAGTTGAATATATTGGATAACTATGTTGATTACTAGTCTCATTTCGTGATTTAGATACATTCCAATAATCTAGAATCGAATATTTTATTATATAGGTAATCAATTCGTCACTACTTTATTATATCGTTGCAATAGATCCCATAAACCGTTGCAGTAGCCTCTAAAAATTGTTATAATAGATATTCAATGCGTTGTCTCAAAAAGGTGTTGCATTAGCACCAAATATTGTAGCAACAACCTTAAATAACCGTTGCAATAACCTCTACAAACCGTTGCTATAGACTCAACAAATGGTGCGTAGGTTGATAACACGACGGTTTAAAACCGTCCCAATTAAACAGGTAACCGTTACATTAGAAACCATTGCACAAAACCGTTACAATATACGTATTGCGACACAAACCACTGGGACGGACCCCTAAACCGTTCTAATAGTTCTATGGCGACGGTTACCTATCTACTGGGACAGTTATTGAGGTGTTACCATAAGTTTATTTTTTAGTAGTGAATTGGGAGGAATGAACAAAAGAAAATTGTTTGTGATAATGAGTCAAATTTTGAAGCTTTAGTGTCATGACTTGGTTGCCACTTTGATTAGTGTAGTGTTTGAGCACTTAAATTGAAATAAAATTTGTGATAAGTTGGTGATTCATATGCTTTGGATTAATTGTTGGAACCAACCAAAGTCATTAGATTGTGTTTAATTTGCATTTTTGTTTTGACTTGAAATGATGCTTGGCATGCCATTGAGCTTAATTGATGATTTTAGTGAAGGATGTTCTTAGTCTTTGAATTGCTTGAGGACAAGCAATAGTTTAAGTGTGGGGGTTTGATAAGTTTGTATTTTACTAACTTATCTCTTCTTAATACTTAGGCTTTTGTATGATTTTGATGAGAAGTTAAGGCATTTTCTGAGGTTTATTGGCATATTTCAGGTATCATATGATTTGGAAAAGATATAGAAGAAAACAAATCAAAAAGTGCTAAAAGGGGAAAAATGGACCACTGCAAGCGATTACACTACGCGATCGCACAAGTCAACAATAGCAAAGCAATGCGAACACGTGTAAATAAGTGTGAACGCGAAGAAGGAAGCCTGGTCAGCGGCTGGTCAACTGAGCTATGCGAACGCATGACACTGTATGTGATCGCATAGCTTGGAGAAATCATTCACCGCGAACGCAATAGTACATATGTGAACGCATAGTGTATTTTCTGGGTAGTTCTGGGCAAAAGTTGAATTTCACGTTTTTAATCCCCAAACCTTTTAATACACGCACTAGCAGATATATTGGACATCTTTGGCTTATTTTCAATTCCAAGAGACTAGAGAGAACAAGTTTTGGAAGCTAGGGTTTGCACACACACATTGGTCTTGAAGATTTGAAGCTTGTGGTTAAGGATTTCTTACCCATTTATGTTTATTTCTTCATTTCCTTGCTTTGTATTGTATATCTAATTGTGTAGTATTTTATTCAACACTTGAATCTTGTTTATGTAAATATTCATAGTTAAAGTGTGGATTAAATACCTTGTTCTACTTATGTACTGAATGATTTTTATTCTTTTAGGAAGTGAGTTATTGTTTCTTTAATTATTCTTGTTCTTTAATGTTTCTAAATGGATTAGCTAACCCTAAGACTCGCCCATTAACTCCGAATTAATTTTGGAAAAGATAATTTGGGGTTGAGAAAGATTAATTAACAAGAACTTGAGGTTTTAACCCTCATTTTATAGGTTCTACCTAGGGATAGGATTGAATTACTTGTAGCCATTCCGGATGTGCTTAATCTCTTAATTGTTTTAGGGATAATTCAATTGAGAAGTCTTGTTAGTCTTCGAAAGAAGCTAATATAGAATTATTACCCATGGCTAATTAACATAAACTCTCTCATATTTGTAAAATCATGAAATACATTGGATCGTTACTTGGGTGTAATTCCTGATGCAACCATACTTGTAGCCATTGATAATTTTACTTGCTTTCTAGGTTAGTTTACATTTCCGCATTTTGGTATAAATATTTTCTCAAACCAATTCTACATGTTTGGCATTGCATAACAAGTGATAATTCTCTTACATTCCTAATCGCCTACATATTGTTCTCTGTGAGATTCGACCCTGGCTCATAGTTGGGTAAATTATATTGCATGCGACCGTGTCTATTTACTTTTTAGTAGTGGATTTGGACGTCATCACTAAGGTGCTTTCGTTGGGTGGTTTGGGGGAGCCTAGTTCTGAAGCTTTTCAGAAAGAGTAGGCGGCCCGGATTGATCTAGTCTGGTTTATTGAAGTGAGAGATTCCCCTTTGGGATCAACTATTTCCCCGAGGGAGATGCAAGATGCCCAAAGCAAAGAGTATTTCGATGTGGGGGCGTCCTTCAGAGATAAAAATGTGTTTGAAAGGATTTTTGTTGTGCCTGAGGAAAAACCTAAGCTTGAGGCCTCACTTATTTTCACTGAGATCGGCATGGTTTGTGAGCATGTAATCTTTTCATAAATTCTGCTTGGTGCCCCGATTTTCATCTTATTAACCTTGTTTCTTTCATGGTTCCAGGCCAAGGTGCTTTACAATCAAACCTTCGCCAGGTTTCAAACTGAGCTGACTCGATACGAGGGTGAGCACAAGAGGCTCGCCTTGGAACCTGATGAGTTCAGAGCTCTTTCTACCAAGAGGGAGGAGGAACTCTGTGGCCTTCGGGATTGTTTGGAGGCGGTGTCTTGTGAAATGACTCATATCACTGAGCAGGTTATATAGTTCTTGGTTTTTTTTGTCTATATGTTTATCCGACTTCAGTGCTTTAACACCTTCGAGTCGATCTTTGCAGCTTGAGAAGAAAAATGTCCTAATGAAGAAGGAACTCCGAGTCAGGGACTCTGAAATTCTCGAAATCAAACGGCACGTGAGTGAGATAGTCTCTGAGAATGATGCCATTCAGGGGTAGGTGGTCTCAGTCGGGCATCAACTCGATGATGCGAGGGCGGAGAGTAATAAGTATAAAGGTCTACATATTGAGTTGGTTGCTACACTATCCGAGGTTAAGGCTGAAGGCGAGGCATTCATGCCTTCACATAAAGAGGATGCTACTACTACAAATGATCAGGCCCGGAAGGTGTCCGAGGATGCCGAGCTGCGATTGACTCGAGCTGTGGAGCATGCCCATTTAAAATCTCGGAGATAGGATCTCGAGGAAATTCGTGCGGGGAGCGTCTATTTGTCCGCCGAGATCGATCGAGATGGTGAAGACCCTAGAAGAGGAGGTTGCGACCCTTCTTTCTTCTGAAGGCGAGTCGAGTAGTGGCTCGGAAGATAATGAAGAGGGAGGAGAGCTCCCCAAAAGGGGGGAGGCCGTTGAGAACCTAAAGGTCACGACCGGTGCTGTTGAAAGCACAATTTTTGAGGGAGCCATTGGAGGCTGTGACGACCCGGCCAATCATCTCATGAGTTACCACTCTGTTTTCCCCCATTTTTGCTTCTTTATGCCTTGTTATCCGTGTTTTGTGATATCGGGTTGGTCGGATCGAATTCGAAATGATTTTGGTAAGGTTTGAGACACTTAGTCTCTTGTGAGGAAAGGTCAAGTTGGAAAAGTCAACCGGATGTTGACTTATGTGTTAGAGGGCTTGGATGTGAGTTCCGATGGTTCAGTTAGCTTCGGGAGGTGATTTATGACTTAAGAGTGTGATCAGAATGAGTTTTGGAGGTTCAAAGTAGGTTTAGGCTTGAATTGGCGAAGTTGATATTTTGGCGATTTTCGGTTGGTAGGCGAGATTTTGATATAGAGGTCGGAATGGAATTCTGAGAGTTGTAGTAGTTCCGTTGTATCATTTGGGATGTGTGTGCAAAAGTTCAGGTAATTCGGACATAGTTTGGTTGGGTTTTTGATCAAAAATGGAATTTGGAAGATTTTAGAAAATTTGTCTTGAATCCGAGGTGTTTAGGTTGATTTGATGTTGTTTGAGGTGTTGTAAAGATTGGTACAAGTTTGATAAGGTATTAGGATATGTTTGTGCTTATGGTTGAGGTCCCGAGGGCCTCGAGGTGATTTCGGATGCTTAACCGAAACGTTTGGACTTTGTTGCAGTTGCTGAAGTTGCTCCTTCTGGTATTTTCGCACCTGCGGATTGGGGACCGTAGGTGCGGCGCCGCATAAGCGGAAGGTTGGCCGCATAAGTGGAATTTGAAGAAGTTGTCAGGAACTGCAAAAGCGGTTGGAATACCACATCTGTGATGGCGCAGATGCGGAAAGTTGACCGCAGCTACGGAAAGGGGAGCTTAAGTAATTTCCGCAAAAGCGGAGGAAGGACCGCATATGCGGTACCGTGAAGCGGAAATATAGGCGCAGATGCAAAAATCCCTGGCCAGAAGGTATATATTATTTTTTTCGCAAAATTTTGCTAAGTCTATCATTTTTTTAGATGAGAAAGAGGCTAAGGCATCGGATTTCGAGAGGAATCAAAGGATATTACTTGGATTCGATGCGAGTGGAGGTGATTCGAGGGGCAAAGGCATCGCGAAGTAGTATTTTCACCAGTTTGAGGTATGGTAACCATTGTAAATCTGGAACTAAGGGTACAAACCCCGGTATTTGACTTGTTTTGATAAATGCGGTGATGCACATGCTAGGTGACGGGCGTGTGGTCGTGCACCGGTAGGGATTGTGACTTGGTCCATCCCGTAGCGACTATTAAGCCACGTATTTGATTTGGAACCTTATGATATTCCATGCTTTAGCTATTTATACTATATTATGGGTTGTATGTCGTGTTTGGGGCCCTGTGCCGATCTGTTGAGACCCTTAGGGGCATTTTTACTGTTTTTCTCACTTTACTTGTTTAATGCATATCCCCAGTCATGTTTTACCTATTTAAATGTTTAAAACTAGTTTTTATCACTCCACTTTTAATTGTGAGGATTGTTTGGGCTGAGTTCCCTAATTTCTATTGTTGCACCCGAGAGGCTGTGAGGTTAATGACTGAGAGAGGTTGAGAACCTAATAGTGAGGATATTATATGTATATATTATGGATCGGG